CGCGATAAAATCTAGAGCTCTGAATGTTTTATTTATGAAATTAAGGGAGGTGAGGGTTAGAGACAGGAAAGAAATTTTAAAACGATAAAACTCCATAACTGTAAGGACCAAGTAAGGATAATATTACAAGGGTGTGCTAAAGATAAATTATAATACTAAAGAGTTTATTTATTAAAAATTTACCAAATACAGGGTGTTTCAGAATGTAATGTACATACGTTAACTAATAGGTGTGAGATACTAACGAAAATTTTAAGAAATATTTTAGATTAATAAAATAAAATAAAGTAACTAATTTAAAAATAATTTATGACTTTTACTAATTTATAAAATAAAATTGAAAAAACTATATATTATATTGAATTGGTGTAGATTAAAACTTATTTTAACTTTGCCTCCCACTTCGGTGTCGCAAGCTGAATTTTTCAGGGATGAAAGTACATGATAAGCTAACCCTTATTCCGGAGGTAATACAAAATTAGACTGTGCAAAAGGGCATTATCATAAAAAATCGAGTTATTGATACCACCGTATGAAAAAAAATTCTTATTTTTTGTTCTAATGCTCAATTAGGTCTTTGTAGGAAGTATTTTTTTTATAATTATTTAAAAAAAATCATTTACATTAGCCCTTATGGTCGAAAAAAAATTTAAACGTCAATATCTCGGTTTCAACCGTCTACAAATTTGTATAAAAAATCTTCTTTTAGAAATATACCTCTCATTTGACGAAAAACGAAGGCCTAAATGAAAACTATTCTTCATTAAAGTTTCGCCTATGTATTGACAAGGTAAAAGTACTTTCTTCATATTTTTTGCTTTTAATTTAACAAAAATATAGCAATAAACAATTAGTGATGTCATTGTTTTACTAGAAAGCAAACATTAAAGGCAGAGCCTCTCGACTCTCTATGCATCTCTCTCAGTGTTGAAATGTATGCAATCAGTTTGACTCTCTTATATTATTTTATACGGGTATTATTGATTTATCCACTATGAATAATAGGGTGTATTAATTACTTCAAGATTTTTTTTTATTTTTGGAGGAAAATGAAAAATAAGAAAATATAATTTATTTATTGAAGGTATTTATTGAAGTATCGATTATAAACAGTAAGGCTATTGCTTTGCAAAATACAATAAATCCCCAATATAAATAAATTATAATAATAATAATTGGAAGGAAGTATATAAAGCATAAATTAATAATATTAAAATTTATAATTACAAGACTTTCAAACTAATCAGATTCACCACACGAGTCAACATTTTCCAAAACATTAGCGGCTATGGTCAAACTATTTCTGCAGTTTTTCTGTGCCATACAGGTGCAGGAACCGATACAACAAATATATTTTTTCCTGCATTTGCAAATTTTGCTTTCACAGTCTAGAACAGAATATTTTTGTTAGAATATTGTATAGTATCTTTTTTGCATTTGCATGATGTAAGTTTTGTTATGTCTGGTGGCAGGTCGGGCAGAGTCTTAAAAGTGGGTATCAGACTTCCATCTTGATCTACTTTCCATCCATACTCTTCAACATTAGGAAGCTGCATCTGGGTTTAAAGAGCTGAGCCAAATATTTAGCTGGTAAAAACATCTTAAACAATGTAGTCTTAGGGCGTCTTCAGTCGGTGGCAATTTAGCGATGGATAATCCAATAATCCCCTCAAAATGTTAATGGAAGTAACATTGGCAGTTTTGAATAAATTTTTATGAAAATTCTTTCAAGATTAGAGAATATGTTTTTAGAGTACTGATCAGTGCCAAATCCACCCAAAAAGTAATGGTGTTCAAGGTAGGTTTTCCAACAGGTTCTTTTCCCAATGCCGGACAATTGGCTGGTTGTATCAGAAAATTTGTTAAATGTCTTTTGTTAAATATCGAATGAATAAACAAGTTCTATTGTTGCGGAAGTGAAATATTGGGTCAGTCAATTTTTATATCAATTGATTTCTGGGATCCTCTCTTTTGACGTGTTGTATTTTTGATAGAATGTCCTTTATAATGATCAAATACTACATCTATCATTTGAGCATTAAACTTATTTCTAAAAATAATGTTTACAAATATATGAGCATATTGTTTAAATGATATGCAACTTTTGGGCTTCCCTATTTTGATATCATTTTTGTCTTTGCTACTTGCAACAACAAATCCGTAATTAAAATTTTAAATGAAAACTTATAACTTACCCAAATATATTTAGCTGCAACAGGATGAATGTAGATATAATAAAGATGTAAAAATGTCTATATTTCTTCTCAATTTATTAGGTAATTTAATATATAACACATACACTTATTAATTCTTTAGTAAAAACAGATAACAATATGACACATTGCCCAATGGAACATAACGAGAAGTTTTATAATAAAAAAATGAAAAAATCCTACCATATCAATAATGTGATACATCAGCCGGCACGTAGAAAGAAACAGATCTATGCTACGTTTGAAGGTGAAGAGAAAGATATACTAAGAGTCTATAAAATTGGCGGTGAGAATTAATTACAGCGTAAACCAATGACATCTATCATCGTTTATTGTTATATCTTTGTTAATTCAAAAGCAAAAAATATGGTGTTTACTCTGTTAACACATAAGCAAAAATTTTAAAAAGAATTTTTTTTTTATTTAGGCCTTCGTTTTTTGTTAACTGAGTGGTATATTTAGAAAAGACGACTTTTTAACTAAATTTTTGAAGGGGCCAAACCAAGATATTTACGTTTATATTTTTTTCGGCCGTAACTGCTAATGCAAATGATTTTTTTTAAATAAGTATAAATAATTACTCCCTACAAAGATTTTATTGTGCATTTGACCAAAAAATGAGTATTTTTTTCTCTATTCGGTGGTATCAATATCTGGATTTTTGATGATAGTGCCCTTCTGCACAATCTAATTTTGTATTACCTCCGGAATAAGGGTTACCTTATCATGACCTTTCATCTGTGAAAAATTCAGCTTGTGACAAGAGTGGGAGGTAAATCGTTTTTTTGAGCGATTATTTTAATACATACACTTTACTAATATGACAACAGCGGATATTATACCCTTCTGTGTCCCTTAGAATATGTCTTATTCAGGGCCGCACGATATTTGTTAGTATTTACATCTCCTGGTTATCTCTGATTCGAATTTTTGTTTATAGATAACCACCATTTGTTGTTGATCCTGGCGATACATTTTTATCCAGTCATTAGAAGCATCTCTGATGCCATTTCGTTTTAACTTCTCGAACAACAAGCAATGGTTTACCGAATCAGAAGCTCTACTCAAATCAAAAACAAAGACTTTTTTTATTATTTAAGCAGTTATAAAATTACTTAGAAGCGAGATGGCTGTAAAACTGGGTCGTTTTTCTGAAACCATTTTGATTTTTAAATAAATAATCATAATTTTCTAAGAATTCAACTAAGCTGTTTCAATAATTAAATTTAAATTTTATTAAAAACTACACTGAAAAAAAATTGTAGAACAAATTTCTACAATTGTAGATTTTTTCTCTACAATAAATAATACATATAGGGACAAGGACAATTTGTAGTAAAAATTTCCAAATATTTGTGGAGAAGGTATTATAGAGTTATTATCTACAATATTTAGTAAAAATATCCAAATGCATCATAAGAATTGTTCTACAAATTGTTATAATCTTTGCTATTCATTGTATGAATTTATATTAAAAATGTATTGCGTTTTATGAAAATAAATACGAAAATTTTACACAATAAATAGTAAAAATTCATACAAATTGTAGTAATTTTTAATAAAATTTGTAGTAGTATTCCATAATTATTATAATTATAACCTAGAAAAAAATGTTCCTTAATAAAATATTCAATTTATTGTTTTAATATAAAAGATACAAATTCTTAATTACATTATGTAATAAATAACAGTAATAATAGCGCCCTCAGTCTCAGTTGGCTTTTCTGCACCTGAAAAATATGAAATAAAAATTAATACCAATTGAATTGTTCATACCCTTAAAACGGGGATATTTATCACCTTTACACTGATTTGGATATTAAATGACTAAGTCAGATAACTAACAAAAATGAGAAAGTAGGTATGTCAAAATTAAGACAAAAAAATATCATTGAACTTGGCACAAAATTCGATCGTTGGGCACAACATTCGATCGTTGGCCACAACTATTTTTTTAAAATAATCTACTAAGGTTATTTAAATTAGTTATCTAAAGGTAAATTATTCAGAAACAATATTAAATGTACTTACCACCAATAGAATTTATTATTAAAATTTTCTCAAACGCATCGGTGCTTATAATATAATAATGTGTTATAGGTACTCGTACATGTACCATGCTTTGTTATGTGAACATGGCGAACGGCTACTGCTGTCTGGCCGTTTATGATCGACGTCAGAAAACGTTGGCCAATAGCAGAATTTTGTTTTGTTCACATGACTAAGAATTTCTACAATATTGTAGAATATTTTTCAACAAAATTGAATGTTTATTATAAGAAGGGATGTAAAGTATTACTATTTTTTGTAGAGAAAATTACTATTTTTTGTAGAGATAATTATTAATATTTGTACAAATTTTTACAGAAGTTAGTAGTAGTAATTACGATAATTGTAATAAATTTCTACTTCTACAAACAATAGTAAAATATACTAAACATTGTGGACTTCTTTCCTATTGTTGTAGCATTTTATTCGACAATTCAATTGCTACAATAATTAATAGTTTTTAACTATAAATTGTAGTAAAATTTTCTACAAATTGTTAAGTATTTTTCTACAAGTCTACTACTACAACATTGTAGTAAAATTTTCTAGTCACATTTTTTTCCGTGTAAATTGAATTAAATTATATATAAATAAAATTTGTATTTGATCCGTAGTTGTAATCATATAAAGTCATTTCACAGTTTTCGTTAATCTTCAGTATTTTAGAATGTTCTGCACATCCTATAAATTTTATGAAAGTCTATCGATCGCTAAATGCAACATTTCCTATTGTTTCAGGCATTTAAATACAGAACACATCCTAGACGATCGTTCAACGGCTCAAGCGCGAGTTCAAATGCAAGTTGTCTCGCAATTAGAGCTGCAACTTCAAAAGGAACGCGACCGTCTCCAAGCTATGATGCACCACCTCCATCTCTCCAAGCAAATGAGTTCACCGGACCCTCACAAAGATTCCTCCGTGAACGCTGTGAAAATAGCCGTTAGTGCAGCTCTACCTCAAACCCCTGTATCCATGGGACCTATGGTTTCGGCCGTTAGGTCACCAGTGTTACATTCTCCATCACCCAATGTGGCGGGACCGATCAGACGAAGGCTTAGTGATAAATCTGCGTTGTCGTTAGCTGGTGGTAAGTTTTTAAAATTGATACACTATAGATTTTTATAAAATTTCTAAAAGCTTTAAGTCGCACTTTAAATTAAGGTTGTGAAATAATTTTAATTTTCTCCTAAGGGTTTAATTATTGTTTCGTGGTATACATAGTAATCTTAGTTAGACTTTGATATAAAATTTCAATAAAACAGGAAACAACAAAGTACTGAATCAACAACAAAATACGTAATATGTGAATCATATTCGATTCCAAAATGCTTTATGATTTAATTTAACATACAAAAAATACACTGATAAGTGATAAAAGACAATTTCTTGCATTATTGCTTTGATTTGAATAACTTTGTATACGAGGTGTTACTAGAAAATAACCGGACTGATCGTTCTGCAGACAATGAGGTCGTCAAGGTCAACTGAAGACGAGACTTCTTTCTCTCTATATTGCTATCATCGTAAAGATTTCGCTGTCCTTCGCTTAACTGAGCAGTGGCCTTTGGACTTCGTTCTAAGTAGACCTTGCATCTGTGCTTCGCAAGAAATATGTTCATGTGTTCAAGGAGAGCGAAACATCAATGTAAAATTCCTTTTAAAAATCGGAAAATCCTTCTCAGAAACGTATGCTTTATTGAAAGAGAGATATGAAGATGAATGTTTATCACGCACTCAAATTTATGAGGGCTCAACGACGGACGTATGTGATCGCAGTTAATTCGCGCCTAGGACGATTATGCACCTCAAAAACAGATCAGTGTTTGATCAGAATAAACCATCTGTTAAGTATTTGGACTGTTATTGATGTGGCTGATGTTCCTTCGTTGATTTTTGTATAACGCTATTTAGACCAAGGTTCTATGCTATTGATTCCGTATTTAATAATATTTTTCCTGTAGTTGATCATATGGTTATTACAGCGTATTATCAGCAAACGTGAGTAATTTAATACCTCTGTAAATTTTTTTGCAAACTGGTTAATAGCTGGATGATTCAGCTCTCACATTAACTTTAAATCGACATTTCTTTGGCTTGAATTTGATGTTTTCTAAAACCTACCATTTTTATTTACTAGGTACCATCATCTTATCTATACTTTAGTGCATTTCTTCCGTTATTTTCTGTGATTTATTTGTATTGAAAGTTGTATGTATCACCGAGTTCCTTAAGTTATTTTATTTTCTCTTATGTGAGCACCCTATTTACCCAATCACTCATCATGTAACTTTTTATTACACAAGGTCAAATCACCAAATCTGCACTGAAAAGAACCAGATTTGAGACAGTAGAGCTATCGAAGAAAAACTATGAACATGTTCTCAAAAAATGATTAACGGCACTACTATGACCAATGGAAAATTCGGATGAAAGTTTATTGAAGGCAATCGTGTTAAAAGTTTGAAAAAAAAACTATTTTATAAAACTAATCTTGTATTTTTCTAGCTACACCTCGTATATTTAAAAAATCAAAATGGGATCTCTTAAAACTTCGAAAATCTTTGGTTAGAAATACTATTTCTAATTTTATGTCATACGATTTTGCGATTTCAATCATAACAAACGGAGCATTTGTCACAAACACAAATTTGAAAATATTTTCTTTTTCCATGCTGCATATTAGGTTTACCATATATGTTAGAACGAGCTGGATTAGATGTTCAACAAGGTATTTCTGATTGGAAATTATTTTTTAAAAATTGTCTATAGTAAAAAATGTGTTCCAGTATCTTTGCAACGAAAGGTCTACTGTTTAAGAACTTTTTGGGTCATATAGAAATCGAAGATAAATTATAATTCTAGTTAGACTAGGTTTTGTTGTGTTCCGAACCAATATTGGCTAAAACGTTTCTTGAATTCACCAAACAAAGCCTGAACAACATAACAGGATCCATGAAAACCACACTAACCAGAGCCATGGAAGTCATTCTTAGTCTCACTCCCCTTGATATTTACATCAAGGGTTGCTCTGATGACAACGACACGCCTCCACACGGTTGGAATAGAACTTGATGTAGGATCTGGTGAGGCGAGACGTCGCTTTTGGCAGGCGGCGCTCGAGACGTTCCCACTGCTTCAAGCGAAAATGGACTATCTCATCGAGATATATCTTCCATAAGCCATATAAAGTATAACAATAAATAGAAGAGCCGGAAGTGGCAGGGTACGATTCATATCTACATTGACGGTTCTAAAACAAAACAAGGCTCAGGATGTGGGATATACTCCAGATCATTAAGCTTAAACATAAAATGGGATGTAAGCAATAGTACCAGTGTAGTTCAAACCGAGCTCACGAGGATTCTCATAGCAGAAAAAGAAATCAGAAACAATATCCTGAAATGAACATGCTCATCTATACAGATAGCACTGCTCACCCTAAACAAACCACGAATTTACTCAGGATTAGTACTAGAATGTCACGAAGCTTTGGCCGCAGTATACATTGGTTACCTTAAGAGAAGGATCGAAGGTCACGCCACATCGAAAGACAACCAGCTTGCTGATTCACTAGCCAAGAAGACAAGGAGTGACAAACCTAATCAAACATTCTTTTGTAAAATTCAAGGAAAGATGGAATGAAACAAGAAACTGCAAAGTTGCCAGGGAGCTTTTAAGTTATTCTGACACCATTACAGCAAACAATCACAGGCATTCTGACTGGTCACTGTCAAGTACGGAAGCATCTGCATATCATGGGGCTGTCATAATCCGCACTCTGCAGGGGATGCGAACAAGAAGATGAGAATCGAGCATATCTTCTACGATTATCGGATGCTCTCACTTATTAGAAGATTTGTGTTCAGCGAATATCGGAACACCGGTCGCTATAAGAGAAGCATCTCTTGGCGACGTTGTCAATTATATCTGTAGGCTGGCTCACTAGCTAGGAGGTGCATGTCATTTTGGGAAGATGTGCAATGGACCTAGTGAGGTAACCTACCCTCCACACGTTACAGATACAGAGATACAGATATGCCTGCTAGTACTCTAGTATTTTTTCTATTTTGGCTTAATAGTTGTTCTGTGAGTTTTGGCGATAGACATTTTATGAACTTTTTGGCCTATCTCTGTCTTGGTGACTCGTTTCAACATTCCTAAGATTTGTTTGACATTCACTGTTGTGGTGACTATCTTTGTGACACTACAGAAAGGTTCTATGCTGAAATGAGCTCTTAGGCTGGTAAATGAGACTCTTCATTACCTGGTACCCTGGCTAGAGTCAGTCTGTTTTGACTTCCTAGCTCTGTTAGCTCTATGTAGGCTCCACTGTTTCACTGGACTGCTTTTATCGTATGAGCATATGTTAATAATTTATCCATTTAACAGTTGTAGTAATAAATGGCGTAAACTAAAAAAGGATCAAATCTACATATTTTTTAAAAGCTATGGTACCGAACACTTGCACTTAGTCGAATTTTTTCCAGCAAATCATAGGGTGGTAACTTATTAAGAATATTCTTAGACATAGCAAATAATGCGCGCTTTTCAATTCCAACTATAAATTCCTAATATAATTGTAAAATGGTAGTTTAAAAAACGTTTCTATAATAGACCCAAATATGTTCTTCTAAGTGTGATTTCGTAGCAAAATATCTGATTCGTACACCTTTGAATATAGATATTGGTTTGTGTTAATAAATTGTTTTTGAATAGAAACATTCCTTTTTGCCAAAAAACCGATATATTTTTTCAGAAATTCAAAGAAATAGGGAATTTTACAAGAATGCCGACGTGAGGCCTCCATTTACATATGCTTCCCTGATTAGACAGGTAAGTCCGAAATCAAACCTCTTGCGCCACTGAATAATATGTTTCGTCCTATTTTCAGTCCATAATCGAATCTCCTGACAAACAACTCACACTCAACGAAATATACAATTGGTTCCAAAACACATTTTGCTATTTTAGGAGAAACGCAGCTACTTGGAAGGTACTGTGCCAATAATTATTACTTTCATTAAATTTAATCCATTCTTTCTTATTGGTAAGCAATCGAATATTTTACTGTAATTATTATTTAGGATTTCTACATTAATGAGATTCTTAAGTAATGATTCAAAAAATTACCAGAAATAAAATAGTGTTTAAACATTGGGAATTCAAAAAATTCATCTCCTATAAAAGTAACCTTGGAAATGAATTAAAACGATCTATTAAACAAGTGGATAAATCGATAAATTAGAAATAATAAAAGATGGGTAACAATTTGCTTTATAAATAGGAGTAAGTAAATGCCTTTTAAGTACCTTTAGGTGAACTATAAACATGTCTAAAATCGATATTTGCTGATTGTGAAGCTCTTGTGTAATTAAATAACATTAATAACACATCCAACATCTGCGTTAGCCAGCTTTTTTTAATTTATATTTTTGAAACATATTTTATAGAAATGTACATTTATTATTCTTTTAGTATGCAAAGATTTATGAAAGTCTACAAAGGAATTTAAATAGAATATTCACGGTTTTAGATTACTAGCAGATAATCTATCAAAGATTTAATCAATCATCATACAATTTATTATACTTATAATGTGATTTAATAAAATTAATTTTGATTTAATCATCTCAGGGACATTTTAACCTGATGAGATATTTTAGATTTATCTTTAATATGAACTATTATATTTCTAACAGATAATAATATTTAGATACTTAAAAAAGCTTTAAAATACTTGGATTTTAATTTTATTACTGCGATAAATTAGCTGCTGCAGTAAAAATTCTACTAATAAAGCGTCTATTATTTCCCTAATTTAGATTAACATATTTCTTATCAAAATCAAAACTAAATAATTGTTTTCCTTGAGTACTTTAGAAATAGTGCTATAAATATACTGTATACTGTGGCATTAAAACCGCATGTGTAATAAATTTATAGGAGATCGACTCTGGTAATTTTTTGAATCAGAATCTATCTGTTGAAAAACTAAATATGATTTTGAATTGAAATTTCCAATTAATCATTCATTGACATTTTTTTAAAGCGATGAACAGTGGTTGATATGCCTAAATTTGGTAAACTGTTTTTATTGTATTCTATATATTTTCAGGGTCAATTTATACATGCTTTTAGCTTGCATGAGTCGATATTTTAATTTTATCATTCGTAAAATTATTTAACTCTAAATTTATCCCATCATGCTTTTGTTTAATTCATAACTTTTTAATCATAATAGAATATATTTATTTTGTTTTGTTATTTACTTTAAATATAGCCTTACAAATCAAATGTAAACCTGTTGGAACGAACAATACTTATATCAATATTTATTATTTTGTTTTAATATTATGTTATGCGCTAATAGGAAATATTGGCAAAATACGTAAAATGCACATACCATTTGGCGGGTGTATAAATGCAATTTTCCTTTGTTATTAGCGAATAGTTAGGAAGCTGATGGCAGAAAGGGTATATAATAATATGATCTGCTCGTCGTTAGGAATGATAGAAAATAGAATAAGCTAGGTGGAAAAGTCAGGTGTCGCTGATTTTTCGAAAACAAAGAAAAACCAAAGTTGTAAAAAAACTCCTAAATTACACCAAAGAATTTAGAAACATTAAAATTGCCACTAAAAACGGTAAACTATAGGTTCATTGTACACTAAAACAAAAGCTCCTCTCAGCACCTTGGAGGGTCCTAATGTCTTTTACAAAATAAATTGCAATGAATGTGACAAATGTTACATTGGTCAAACTCCTAGAAATTTAACGGGACGAATAACTTCGCATAAAAGTGATTGCAACTGAAACATCCAATCTTGTACATTAGCGCAACATACCATAAATAATAAGCACACAATGAATTTTCAAGATGTTTAAATTTAAAAAAAAGGAAATAATTAATCTAAGACTTTTCTTAGAAATGACTTGTATCAATAGTTCCTCAAACGGCTTATAAATGAAAATAAGCGCGTTAGACCGCTACACCACCGACCCGATAAAAAGAAGCAAGACATTCAAGAAATCTTCTCTATAGTGAATCACAAATATTAGGTATTAGGCACTGCAAGGTACATGCTCATCTATACAGATAGCAGGCAAGCATTACTCACCCTGAACAGACCACGAATTTACTCAGGGTTAGTGCTCGAATGTCACGAAGCTTTGGCCGAAGTATCCATCAACAATGTGGTCACCTTAAGATGGATCAAAGGCCACGCCACATCGACAGGTACTCGTCTTGCTGATTCACTAGCCAAGAAAGCAGCAAACCACTGGCCCTTCTATTGGCCTGACAAAATCGGTAGTGACTGACCTAATTAAAGAACATACGCTTGTGAAATTCAAGGAAAGATGGGCAAACAAATAATTGACTATGACTTTACAGAATCTGCGCCTAGTCACTAGCATTCTGACTGATCATTGCCAAATACGGAAGCATCTCCATATCATGGGGCTGTCAGAATCCGCACTCTGCAGAGGGTGCGAACAAATGAGACCATCGACCATATCATTTACGATTATTCGACGCTCCCATTTATTAGAAAATTTGTGTTCGACGAGTATCGGCTAACACCGGCCGATATAAGATAAGCACCTCTTGGCGACGTTGTCAACTACATTAAATCTGTAAGCTGGCTCACGAGCTAGGAGGTGCCCATCATCTTAGGACGATGCACAATGGCCCTAGTGAGGCCTAAGTGCCGTGGGGGTAACCCACCCTTCACACATTACAGATACAGATATTAGGCAATTATATATTATCCACCTAGGGTGTCAACAGTACAAAAACAAAAATGAACTTACCAGATTAAGTCATCAATATCCAACAAAAACAAAACGCTTACAGTGTGTACCAATAACTTCGAAATATGTAGGACAAAGAAGCTATGTATTTTTAGGTCTAAAACTGTTCAATTACTTACCACAGAGAATAAAAGAGGAAACGTCTTATAAGAGCTTTAAAAAGCAACTTATACCCTTCATAAAAGAAAGTGAAAGAACAGATATTCATAAAATAATAGAGAGTTGAACAAAAACAAAATGTATAATAAAAAAATAAAAATTCACTCTTAGTCTATTCTTTCAATGATTCTGATTAATATTTTATGTAGAATAGTTAAATTTCATTTCTTATAGAAGGTATTTTATTTTCCAAGTCGGAAGAAACTTCATCTTTTAAAAAAGATATATCAGAAGAAACTTTAGATTTTCGTTTCTCACACATCAGAAGACATATGTTCTTCAAAGGAGACAATGTCAGACGAAACTTTAAAATAACTAATTACAAAAAGTTGAACTGATGGAATAACCTTTTAAACTGGCGGTTAAAATTAAATTAAGTGTTACAGAATACGCCCCTGTCCCAGTGTTCGAACGGAAAATATATCGTATTATAATAATAATAATAATTATTATTATTATTGTTATTATTATTAATGTCATTATAATCGTTGTTATTATTATTGTCCGAACATGGAAATATGTTCAGCTACTGGGTCGTTTACGTTACAATAAAAACCTTCTGGCTACAGAAAATCAGTGACATTAATGTCTGGAATATCAATATTCATTGTTTGTACATATAATGGAACAATCTAGCCAAGAGCCAGTCACGTGAAAATAATTTAATAGAGCTTTTTTGCAATTTTATCACAATATTGTTTTCTTGTTTATTATTTATGAGAAAATGATTTACATTTATAAATATTTAAAAAATATAAATATAATATAAATATTACCATACTTAAACTTTGGTCTGGTGATGAAATATAATATGTCGAGATCTGGGTAACAACAATAACAAGAGCATATGATTAAGCGACCCTTTTCTACATTTTAATTAATAATGCAATGATAATAGTTTGACAAAAGTTGACATTAGTGGTTTTTAAAACCGAAACATCACTATTTTCAACTTCTAGCATACGAGTAAATGACTTAAAAGTTTCTACCAATAGCTTCCTAACTAGAATGAACCGATTACCAGTTTTCATTTTTAAAATAAAATATTAAAAGATATTGATATCACACTTACAATACGCGAATCGTATTGTTAAAAACCTAAGGACAATGAAACTTCACATTCTTGGAGCCAAGAATATTCAATTTGCTGCCCCATATCTATAAAACTTATGTCAAAAAAAACTAAAAAATTAATTTAAAATGTTCTTACTATAGTGAGAGGGATATTATTAAAGAATTAATACACAATTAATTATTAAATATATAATATGTACCATACATAAAAAAAAAGTTCCTGTAACATGTTTAATATTTAGGAAATAAATTAATAAATATGTATAAAAAGATTATTTTACTTACAAATATATAATTAATATGAAATAAAATTCTTCATTTTTATGTTAGTGCTTTCTCTATTTTTGTTTTTTAGTGTTTTACTTATCTTTTTGTTATTTTACGTGTATTTATTCTATTTGTGTGATACACAAATCAAATTTAAATTTATCGCTAAAATATATCTAGTAAGTTTTCTCTGTGTAAATGGGAATTTTCAATTCGCACCTTATAAAAATGAAGTACTAGGCTAAATAATGAGGAAAACATACAGCACGAAGTTTCATAAAATACTGGGTTTTGTTCATTTTTTTTTTTTTTTGAATAAAATTGACATGCAGTAAGTTAAAAATGACAGGTATTATTGGTTTGTAAGGTTATATTGGGCGTTGTCTAAATGGCGTTGCTTGCCTAAACTGCTAGTAGCGCCCATTGTTTATTTGGCGGTATTTAATTTGTTGTTAGAACGCAGTACGACACAACCTATCTCTTCACAAATGTTTCATGCGCGTGGAGAACGTTAAAGGGGCAGTGTGGACAGTGGACGAAGTAGAATTCTACAAGAGGAGGCCCCAAAGATGTTCCTCGGGCCCGTTGGCCCAACCAGTCGTCGGGTACGTCACCACGGGTCCATCATTTTCACCTTTGTACATTGTGTGTTTTGTGATTTTTATATATCTTTTTCTAATCTCTTTTACATCTTTTTTATATATATTTATTATCTGTGGGCTACTCTACGTTTTACTGGAAACGGAATTTCAAATTTTTCAAAACAACACCAAATTAGTAACTATTTTTTTTACCTTTATGAGTAGTATAGATTGGTAATTCATTACATCGAACGTATTTAAAAATGTTGGCATAAAAGTACCCTATTTTACAAGGACACTATTAGGATCTCGTAAAATAAAAGATGCACGAACAGAACTAAAAAATCCAGAATCGTATCTGAAATATTTTAAATAAATTAAAAATTACATTTTACTATTTTTGACTCCAGTTTTTTCAGTTTTTAAAAAATACTTTAACTACTGCCATTCAATGTTTCACCTGGATGTATTTTTTAAAGGAATCGTCTGTAATTAAGATTGTGAATACAGCGCCGTACAATAAACAAATGATTCAAGACATTTTGTGTTTGTTTAACCATCATCAAATCATTTTCAAAGCCGTACCTGTTTATAAATATTTTATTGTTCTATAGATATCAAAAAGAAACAATTTATTTTTGGTATATAGTTTATACTGATTTTTTATTTTAAGTATATTGGTTACACATAACAGAATAACAGATTCATTTTAATTATTTATTAATTTTTCTATTAGTATTATTATACTCTTCACACAGTAGTATTTGAAGAGTATTATAGGTTTACTTTGTCCATCACGTTTTTTGTACTCACGGTAAGTCAAAAACAAAAAATAATATCAACTTAAAATTTACAAAAAAAAAGCTCTATAATGGGAACAAATCCTATTGATTTAAAAAAAATCAAAATAAAAATCGGGGTTAAGGGGGTTGAAATATTAAAAAAAAAATCATAAATCAAAAACGAAAAGCGATATTAACATAAAGTGTTAAGCAAAAATCAAGCTCTATAAGAAGATGATACTGAAAAAAAAATCTAAATAAATTGGGGGGTTAAGAGGGGTTAAAATATTAAAAAACAAAAAATTATATCAACTTAAATTTTAAGCAAAATCAAGCTCTATAAGGATAAGAAGCCCTTTGATTTAAAATAATGGGGGTTTAGAGGGAATTGAAATTATAAAAAAGAATCATAAATCAAAAACGAATAGCGATATCAACATTAAATTTTTAGTAAAAATCAAGCTCTATTGATTCTGAAAAAAATTGAATAAAAGTAGGGATGAAGGGGGGTTGAAATAATTTTAAAAATTCTAACTCAGAAACAAAAAAGATATCAAATTGAAATCTACCGGAAAAATTAAGCTTTATAAGGGGATGAAGCCTATCGATTCTGAAACAAATCTGACTGAAAATTGTGGTTAAGGGGGGTCTGTTAAACTGTGAAGAGTATAATATAGAATTCCAAGCATTATATAACTTCATTCTAGTGTTCGTTTGTTTTCAGGTACTGGTCATGAATTCTGTGCTTGATAGCAAGGGAACAATAAAATATTTGTTTATGAACCGGTCCGGGTTTGAAAATTATTTAATGATAGTCAATAAATACAAAACGTCTTGAAAAATTGGTTCTAGAGCTAAAAAACGAAATATACATTTATTTATTTATTTTAAATAGTTCAGAATCGATTCTAGATTTTTAGTTTGTTTCCCTTTAACCTGTATATAGATTTGACGACCTATTAAAAAACATTGTTTAACTGACGTCGGTCTTAAGAAAAGAAGGTCGAACTGACATAAAAGAGTAACACTATAGCACACGTATATTTATTTTCATGTTTTGGTACTAAGTTGATTTTTTTTATTATGAAATAATTTTAATTTACTTAAATAAGTTATGCGAAAAGACATCAATTCAACTACAGTTATTTCGATACTCATACTAATATTTTTAGAATAAATACTACACATTCAGGAATTAATGGTTTCTAAAGTTGATTTTGTCTAATATGGAATTAAAAGGAATTAAAAAAAATAGTAAAGCTAGAGTTTCCATTTGAACGAAGTTAGCCTACCTTTTTTACTATGAATATTAACAAAGTGTGTGGCTTGTGTGGTGTGAATGTGAGAGTGTGTAGCCGGTTCAGTAACCGCATGTCGTTAGGCCGCTGGCTTGGGCGACTAACAGGAGACCATCAGGCGCAGCCGCAATTCTAGCGCAGTTGCGCCATTATCATCGAAGGTAGATTAACTAGTATAAGCACCAGGTGTCGCCCAAAAACTTACCTCGGCCTTACTTGATTGTTATCTTTCTCTTTCTTGGGTCTGCGTTTGTAGAATGCGATTCGCACCAATCTGTCACTCCACAAGTGTTTTGTGCGCTACGAAGACGACTTTGGGTCTTTCTGGATGGTGGACGATGCGGAATTCGTGAAGCGCCGCCACCTGTCGCGTGGCCGGCCGCGGAAATATGACCCAACCCCATCACCCACTCCACCCCACTGCGCACAGTAAGCACCTTTTGAAGGCGTCCTTTCTCTAAGGAAGGCGTCGCCGTAACGTACCTGCCGTCGTGTGCTGCTGTCTGCTCGGCTCTCGGCTAAATAGGCTCTAGCTCAGGCTCAGCTTAGCCCCCGCTTGGCTGCTTGCTATAATAACATATGACTGATCTTCTTATGCAAGCATATTGTACAGATTCGGTCAAACTCCAACACAACCTATCCACATAATATAAGAGGAATATCGAAAGGTTTATCCTTCAGAAGTATAGTAGTACTCACCTGCTTTGAAGATATAGGAGAAATATTTTAAAATGCCTATTGTTTCTTTCATTCTATTTATAGTCCGGATTTTACTCACTTATAAGTAAATTGGGTCATCGTTCCGGATTTTTACCGAATTTGTATTAACTGGTTTTCACGAAAAACAAGTATTAATATTTTAAGACAATATTGTTAAAGACAACAGTTCTGTTGTTTTTTATAAGACAAGTATTAAATGAAGATAAAGGTCATTCTTCTATCGTTGACATCTTTTTAATAATTTAATTAATTTGTTTTTATTAATAAAAAATAAAAACTTTTTTGCCAACTTATTGTCACCAAGAATGTTTAATACTTGTTAAGACCATAAAACCTTCCAAAATAAAATTTAAAATAACGGAATTCTCAGTCTCTTTTTATAACTTTAAATTACTGGAATGATATTAAAAATTAGCAAATATTATTGGTTGAATATGAAATAAAACAAATATTCTTAAACAAAGATAGATATAACCAAAAATTAATTAACTTAAAATATCTTCTTCGTTTTTAAAAATTCATATAAATTCTGTAACAATCATGGCTCACCACTAATTAATTTTCTTTAGAAACTTTTTATTTGAAAACTTGCAACTATGCAGGTATAATTAACTTGACCTGAGAATTTCTGTTTTTTTCCTTCTTGAAATAATCCGATACTATTTTTAATTACTAATTTTAATTAGAGAAATTATTGGAAAACTTCTTTTAATATAAAAATATCATTAAATATTTTGGCTGCATTAATTCAATAAAATTACTTAAATTAAATAAATATTTTTCAGTGTATTTTAAATCATTATATTGCACGGATTCTAATGAACTAATTTATAATCATAATTTTCTACTTTATTGTCTGTTTTTTGTACTTTTTTAATTCCAAAATCTATAATATCTGAAAATTTCTAGACAACCCCCTATTTTAATAACGAAATGCTGCTTAAAAAGATCAGTTTACTAACATCAAACATACATGTAATAGAGTTGAGGCGTGATTTTAGTTTTATTTTAGATAATTAGATGCTTGTTATATGTAAAAAAAAAACAGTTAATACATAGAGGCCCGAAGCCAGACACAGACACAACACAAACAAACATGCTTCTGCTTGCAAAAATCCTGCATGCCACCTCTCACAGTAAAAAATCGCGAAGATATAATACGCGAAATTTCATTCTGGAGGTGTTCCTTAAAATTAGATTCAACGTATTTTAAATTAATGTTCATTCCATCCATTCAACAGTAAATGTGAATTTAAATGTTGTGGAAAACAAATTCTAGTGACCTATTTGGTCACCTTCTTCTAACCGGGAAAGTTTTTTCCAAAAACATGAAATCTCTACTTGCTATTCGGGAAAAGTTTATTAAATTATTAGAAAAATATTTTCTTCTTTTAATTTAAAATTCAGTTGACAGATTTCTTTGAAACCGAAGCGTTTTTATAAATGATTACACTACAACAGTTCGCTTTTCACAGTATTTCCCTTTAGAATTTATACAGTTTTACATTCGATGAAACCAATCTTTACACCACGTTTTCCACTCTGAGCAAGGTATCTCCTAAACAAGTATTTCAAATGCTTCAGCGATCTTTTCAGGAGATTAAAAACACTCGCAACGCATTTTAGTTTTGATGTGTCCAAATAAGAAGAACTAATTCGGCGATAAATTAATAATAATAGTAAGCAGGTAGGGTTAGGTTTGGCCCAGAACACTGCGGCCTCTTGGGTCTACTATATTCTCCTGCTTTCCCGTATTCAGGTACTATTTTTGGAATAGTCCTGTGTCTTTGTTTTAATAAGTTCCCTACCAAGTGTTCCTGGGGCGTTCTTTCCGGTTCTAGGCCGAAAAGGATGAAACGTCGCCTAGTACGAGCTTCGCATTCGAAGATCACATGGTATGAGGTTTCTTCCTCTTCCATGCAAAGTCTACACGTAGTGGGATCATTGTGTAATCCCATCACATGAAGGTGTTTCAGCAAGCAGTGCCCCGTTAGTAATCTCACAATGGTGGATAATATCTGAGGCCTTGCGAGTTGTAGTGCCTCAGTAGCCATACGTGGGTTTGGTACTCTTAGTATGAGCTTACTGATTCTGTGTCCTCTTATCTGTTGCCAGTGAATTTGGTATTTTGTGGTTATCCACCTATTCACTGCCTGTCGAACAGAGGTTTTGCTTATCCCAAATACAGGTTCGAGTCCTGTAAATGGTAGATCTGATCCCTCTT